TGCAATGTACACACATTACAAGACTTCACCATTCTTGTCTTGAGTGAAACCATAGCTAATCTTCCATGTTATTATCATGGCCTGTAGTGAAGAAGGCTTTCTTTGGGAGAACATTTCACCATTATTTTGTCTTTAAAGCTGAAAAGGAAACAGCATTACACCTACAGTGCAAGTTTTGCCTTCCAGATGTGAAAATGTACTTGCATATTTGGTAGGTAACCGAAAGTAATGGAAAGTATTTAAGGTATGTTACTTCAATATTGTGAAACTTGTATTAGGTTACTGTCTACATTAGACAATAAGTAATTGTACTGGATTACTTACTGCTTACTACTATTTACTAAGAATCCCATAATCCAAAAAATCTGAACAGAAACTTACTGAAGTACATGAGAATTAAGTTTTTGCATAGGACTTTAAAAGAAGTTTTACAACATTGTGAGAAAACCAAGGATTATGTAGAGTCTGACAAATACTGCAATTTGTAGGTATGATAACATACACACACAAAGTGTATTTAAATTGAATCACAACTAATAGTGGGCGTGTGTGTGTGTGTGTGTTTTTGCATTGTCAACATGTTACATATTCAACTTATCTGTGATAAACCAATATTGGTCTGTCTCCTATGATTCAGTTTTTACACAGACAGGTGTGTGTGTGTATGTGTGTGTGTGTGTGTGCGCAAGTGTGTGACTTCACATTAAGACATTAACATCTAGAGGTGTTGTTTTTAAGCAGATCTCTGAGCACTAAAGATCAGATCTTATGTGATGTAGAAGAGAGGTGTCATCAGCATAAAGGCGTAGAATGATATTGCCAGATTACCTTTAGATTATTTAGCCAAAACAACGGAGCATGTTGCACATAATAATGTAGAAGATTAACACTCTTTTGTCTTATTTTATAACCTTGATTGCATTAACAGTGTCAAAGAGCAGAATTAAACTATAAAAGCATATAGACTTTGTAAGATAAAACAGAGACAGAACATGTTCCAATACATTTCTGTGATTTTGACAGTGGGAATTTTCTGATGAAGGCTTGTTTGCTGAAATGTGACAATGAATGAAATGAAATGATAACCTGAGGCTGTAGTGAGATTTTTGTGTATTTTTGCTATCCTAATTTATAATGTAGACTTTTGTCTGTATTGTCAATTTAATAGAATTTGGTTCAGAGATGTAGCGCACTATTTCTTTACTGCTATGAACTGAAATTAAATTATATATATTATGTAATATCATTGGACATCCTAAACCATATTCAGCATCCTGTGATTTGCCTTTAAAAAAGTGAAAAGGTTGCGCATTATAAACTTGCTACACAAAAGAAAGTAAGGACCTGTTATTAGGTCCAGTTATACAACTCCTGAGGACCACTAACAAATAAGCATCACAATATTTTGTTTTCACTTATTTGTTTGTCTTTGTATTCTTTGTCTTTTTACAGAGAAAGGTGAATTCAATAGGAAGGTATGCGTCCATTGCAATGCAACTTTCCACAGTGGAGTTAGCTTGTCTAATCACCTCCGGGCATATGCAAAACGAAAAAGGACTGCCTTACTTGACGGAACCAGTAAGTGCCATCAGCAGCAGCAGCTTAAGTCAGGCACAAAAGAAAACACCCACTCCAAGAGCACAGTCTGTGGTATATATTCTCCTACAAGCAGTGGTTTAATTGATTAATTAATTTTAGCTAATTAAATCACATTTATTTATGAACACTTTGGGCCTGCATGAAGGGGTAACCATTGCTCAGCAAATTAAAACTACCAGTTTGTTGTGCAGAAGTAAGAGTTATTTTTCACTACCACAGAGACCTGACGGTAGTGGTCTCTCTCGCTTTGTTGCATATTTCAGTGAACACAATTTGCAGTATTTGGGAGGTGGGGAAACCAGTAAAGGTTCCCAACCTTGTTGCTGCACTAGCTACAAGTACTAGTTGATACTTCTTGCTCTTCAGGATATACTTAGACTGGGAAATGTGTGTTCTTTTTTGTCAGATATTGTATACTTGTGCTGCTCAACAGTAATGTGTCAAAAAAATTATATCCTAGTTACTCTAGGACAAATCACATTCCTCTTCCACCGTTACCTAATTTGCTCCATCTTATGATCCAAACTGTAGATCTGATCAGGCATGCAGGATGTAAATTCTGCCTCCCTAATTGTACCTGAGTAACCCGTTCACTGTTTCTTCTGCTGCTCACAGCAGTTTTTGAAATCCATTCACCTCCACTGTGTGGGTATGGCAGCATAAATCTCACACTGATATCTCAAAACCTTAGCAGATAAAGCCAAAACTGTCTGTGTGGCTGGATACCACAAGAGGTTGTGACGTCCAAATCATAGCTATAATTAGCATACCAGTGGTTATTTGTATCCTCCCCAAGGTAAGGATCTAGAAGGGCATCAGCAAGTGAGATATTGCAAAGATTTTAATTGTGGAGCTGGGTGGGTGCATCTGTGGGAGGAACAACCTCTTCATTGCAGAAAGCCTACTTTTCCTGCAGGCACAGATCATCACACTTATATCTTGGACCTTGTGTCTTGGCCACGCTGGATGGCTAAGGCAGATGAGACCCAAAGCCAGATTGTTCACCTCAGTGGCACATGGCCAAAACATGAGTTTGAATGAAGCAAGGGCTAATGATGTCCAGACATCCAGACTGACTGGTTCACTGAACTAACAAAATGAACATCACTAAACAACATCCAAACTTTCCAGAGCTTATCATAGGCTTTGTCCATTTTAAAATGTTAAATTAGCAAGACTGTGCTGCAATCTCAATGGTAGTTCTGTAAATGAATAAAGTCATTTCTGTCTTCCAGCATTTGACTGTAAAGCAAGGAGGCAACGCTCAAGGCCTGGCTCAAAGAAGAAAACACTGCCCTTACCACAAACTCCAGAGGAAATGTACAGACTCACCTGCAGGTAATGCTTTTATTTCTTTTATAATATGCTTATTATACTCTTTTTAAAAGGTGAATAATATTGCATCTGCTGTTCAACAGACTTTTAGCAGTGATTGTTGCCCTGAGCATCTGGATATGGACCTCTGTCAAATGTCTCTTGTAGTCCAAAAGTGGTGAAACAAGTGTGCTGCAGCGATGACGTATTTTTTGTAGGTTAATCAAAAACCAATGGGATTTTTCCATATAAACAAACTACACCACAGCTGCATGATGTCACCACCACTAAACTTCCAACTTGTAATTAAATCATGTAATTAAAAACTACAAGTTGAAAATAGTTTGCAATAGCGCTAGTATAAACACATCAAGGCTGTAAAGGCAAACTAGTGAGTAGATAAGTCAGTGTGCTGATGTTTAATGTCACCGACAACTTCTGTAGTCTAATTTAGCCACTTAAAACCCATTCAAAAATCATATTGAATTGAAGGTGGTTGCAAAAACACTAACTTCAAGTTTCTAGGTTTTAGGACTCATTCCTGCAGCACTCTGTAACAACTAAATCTAAAGAGACTGTTATAGCAAGTGGACAAGGAACAGTTTTCAGTATGAACACAGCACATGCTCATGAACTGCATTTATCATGTTCTCAAAAAACCCTAGTCTGTCAGTCTTCTTATTAGACTGATCTAACATGATGAACTAATGCCCACACACACCAAAATTAGTTTCTTGGAAAAGCTGTCCAACAAAATCTGATGTGTACTTACTCTCAAAGACCAAGACTCTACATGCGAGCAGCTCTGTGAGGCGGAACTTAGCAGTGCTAAATGCTACCGTCAGCATCTCAGTTTAGTGTTAGCATGCTAACATTTGCTAATTAGCACTAAACAAAGTATAGCTGAAGCTGTTGGAAGTGTCATTAGTTTTCCAGATATTCAATCGTAAACCCAAGTAAAAATTCAAATTAATGTCTGTACAAAATTCGATGGCATCCAATAATTACAGTCAAAGTGGTGGAAAATCTGGCAGACCCACATTTCAATCTGTAGACATGATGATAGCATGGCTCAAAACCAGTGTGTCAAATATTCAGTCTCCTCTTCTCTTCACAGGTTCTGTGACCTCGTCTTCCAGGGTCCCTTGTCGGTGCAGGAGGACTGGATTAAACATTTACAGAGACACATTATGAACACTAGTGTCCCTCACACTGGGCTAGGCATGGTAGAGGTCACCTCGCTGCCAACGACCCTCAAGACTGACCAAGACAGCTCTCCGACAGCCACACATGCTGCCTCATGAAGCCAATGGGGACCTTTTTAGATTTCACTAGACTGTATGTGTATGTACATTGGATGTTCTTTCACTTTTTTTTAGTCAATGAAATACTGGCCAAAAGTACAATATTGCTTGACATTTGGACGGATTAAAAAATTAATTATTTTTGGTATTGTTACCTTTTTGTTTTTACATGGTCCATGTTTTGGAATCTAATTCAAAATGGACAGACTGTTTTTTCTTGTTTTATGCAGTAATGTAGTGTGGAATCCATTTCTAATGAAGACAACTTTTACCTCAGATTTCTCATGGTTTGAGTCCGTTTTTGTCAAAATTTGGGAGCACCTCTCTTCTGTATCAATATTCACATTTCCAAAATACATAGAATCATGTTTATTTTGTATTGCAACATGTTCAAATCCAAGCCCACAGTCTCTGTTTTCAGGCCAGAGTTAGTGAGATAAATATTTTGAATGAAAGTGGCGGCACCTGAAAGATCACGACAAACAACTCCAAGAATCACAAGTGGAAAAGTGAGCGACTATACGAGAACAAAAAGAAAAATGTCCAGAAACTTGTTATGCATAGAAAGTGTTTTATAGTATTTCAGCAGTGTTTCTAATACAAATACAAAATTAAAACTGAAGGTGGTTAAGAAAAAAAAAAAAACCTAACAAGCACAGCCAGTGCTGACAATGCCCTTCATACATGTCACCTATATTTAATGTTTAAATATACTGTTTTGAAATAATTTAATTTTAAATGTACTATATCACAGATACAATGCTTAAAACATTTGTGTTGTTCTAAATAAAAAAACAAAGAAAACAAGTTGACTTTTTCAATTATTTTTGCACACAAATCACTGAATCTGTAAATGTAAAAACAAACAAACTGTATGTTCTTAAAGTGATTGATGACCTGGGAGTACTGTAGCTAATGTTAATATGGACAAAATGGGATATGATGAACCATATATGAACAAAGATACAAGAAAACCAATATTGACTCAAGATGGCTCCATTAATTCAGGCAAATTAACAGTATGTTAGCAAAATGCTGTACGAGTGGTGCCACAGCATTTATGTGTAGTTGTGATTTGAGTGGTTTTAAGTCCATAGTTCTTCATCTGAAGCGAACGCCATCTCAGTGTAAACAGTATTTTGGAGACTTTTGATGATTTCCGTCATTCAAATGGGCTGCCACCCTGGAAGAAAAGGAGGAGTCTTATAGCTGCATTGTTGTTGATCTTGTAGAGCTCCATTAATATTTACAGTAATTACTAGTAGCCTTGTAGGCTGCTATTTGCTAGTGCTACTAATAAGATAGACAAATGCATTCATTGAGTTAATCCATACAAAATGTTTTACTTTAATACATTTTTGGTAGATTTGGAAAGAGTTGTTTGCTGTCCCCTGTATTCAATGCAATAACCACATAGAATAGGGGAAGAAATGCAATCTCACCTTACTTAAGATGTACCGTGTTACTTTAACCTGTTATAATGTTGTTTTACTGTTTCACTTCATACAAGTCTGTTCCTCGTGAGACACGAGCACAAATGTTTGATGTTTGCTTTCCTTATCCACACAACAAAACAATTTGTGTTGAAAATGTTGACAGTAGTGAATTACTTCTTCACGTTCACACTATAAATCTGTTGGTACTTACACTCGCGCTTGGTGACATATAAGAAGTATCCGTTAAGAAGATGTGTTAATGCTGCATGTGACTGGCCATTGGCTACAAACCCCACCTCCCCCATTTGGAATAGATTTTTATTTGCATTAGTAAACAGAGCCAAATGATTAGAGCCTGACCAATATATTGATAATGGCCTGTCGCAGACATGTCAGTATTGTATTGGTGTATATGTCCTCCAATATGAGCCGATATGAAAACCGTACCAGTAATCAGTGAATTTTTCCCCTCTAAAATCGGTTTCATATCGACCTAAGAGAAGAAGTTAATTATGTAATTCTTGAAATATTAGAGGGGACCAAATAAGGTGCCCAAATTATTCATTCAATGGAATGTTTATTAATAAAGTTCCTCCCTGTGTTTTTTCTTTCTGTTCTTATAAACACGTTTTCCATGATGCCATTAGATGTGTTTGAATACTTTTGAAATGTTCACTCTTGCAAAATACCTGCAGGAAGTGTTCAAACTGAGGTTTCAGCTCCTTCATCATGGTTTCTGCTTTGTTGAGGCAAGTATGTCTCTGCCGCACTTCAAACTCCTTCAGGAAATCAATCATTCAATCATCATCAACACTTGAGCTTATTCCATCTAGGGCCAGTTGTTACATTTACAAATACTGACAACTGAGATCTAATTACCAAAATCCAATGATTAATGTTATACTACTCTACAGCAGTGTTACCTTTGTGTTGGAGAGGTGTTCCTGAGAGGTAATGTGAGTCTGCACTGAGGATGCAGATGTGAATAAGTAGACGTTGCAAGCTGCACAGTGGAACATTTCAATCTTTGTCATGTGGTCATTTTCCTGCAGAGCTGACAAAACAAAGGTCAGACTGTATTACTGTAGTAAGACAGTGGATGTCTGTTACAGTTGTTGACAATTTAAAATTATTTACCTTGAAGTACACTATCCTCTATGGCTCGGCTGAATTGACGACTTTTATACAACATGACTTCCTATAAAAATGAAAATGTCTGTCACCATCCAGACAGACCAACGAGCCAACATTTGTTTCTATGATTTATTAAAGGTTGAAAAAAGGGATTCAACCCAGAAACTGTCAATAGGATGTACAGTATTTAACCAGACTATGTATTATCTTACCTGTAGAAACGCTATAGCCAGATCGTCGTAATTATTCTCCTGTTGGATGTGCTCCAGGGTGTCCCAGTGAGTCTTGCTCTCCAAGTGATCCTGCAGCTCCTGACCATTGGCTAGCTCAACATCACAAAGGTCACAGGTGATGGGGCTCCTAAAAAAAAAAAAAAAGACATTAATGCAGACCTACCAACGGTCCTGAATTTTACTCAGCTATCAAAATGAATGAATGTTATATGAATATGCAGCATCTTTAAACAATTAGACATCCGTATCCTTGGTTCTTACTTGTCCATTATTATATTTTTGCTCCTGTTTCTCGTCACGTCTGTGGAAGGTGTGATTTCATCAAGTCCTGAAAGACATTATACACAGAATTATTATAACATACACACACACACACACACACACACACACACACACACACAAAAGTACTGCTTTACTCACTCAAAAAATAGTCAAGATGCCGATTTAAAATGTTTCCAATGTATCCATGCAATCATGTTTCCTATATTTATTTTTCATATTTATTTGAAATAGTGGGACAAAAACAGCAAGCTGCTTCATTTACTTCATTAAAAAAAGCCAACTTACCCCTTTCCACATACCCCAACTGATGTTGATAGTCCCGCTGTAACCTGGGAGGAGATAATCTAACAGTAGTGGTCATCTACAGAGGAGAGAAATGGCTCCAATTGTTACCATGTATCACAATGTCATCACTGCACATACAAAGGAAACAGTGACAGTTTAATTAAAGTCTAAGTACAACAAACAGATCCTGTATCCTGTTTAAAGTTACAACTCAAGCTTGAATATACGCACACAACTTCAGAAAAACAAACATGACAACTGTCATACTTTCAGTCTTATTGATGATACCTCTCTCCTGTATTCTGAGATGGTTATCCTCTCCTCCCCGTTGGTCCTCTGTCCTCCATAAGGTGCAGAAAACCGCTGGTTGGAGGAGCCGTGAATAAGTCTGTCAGGGCTGCAGACCCTGTGGTCCAGAGGTCTACTCATGGAGCCATAACCCGGTGGGTCAAGTGATTCAGCGTCTGGGCTATAAGCCCGTCGATCAGGCAGTCTATGACCTGGACTGAGACCTCGACTCTCAGTGGGTCTAGTTTCATGGCTGAAGTCATGCCTGTTGAGGGGTAGGCTCTCTGGCTCAGAGTAGGGTATGTCCCAGTGGCTTGTGTTGTGGCAGCCCCTACTTGGAGACAAACGCTGGCGTTCTAGGTTGTTATCCTGATCGGGTGGGGAACGGTTGTGATCTTGGCGCTGTGGTATCTCGTGCTCAGAGTCTGACGATGCAGGATCGTAAGGATTATAAAGCTCGACCCTGAGAGCAACGGAAGTGGGATTAGTGTGTTACATGCAGTTTACTATTAGACAGGTCATCTGTTAGGACATGATACCATTAACCACTGAATGTTGATACACACTATAAATGTGCTAGCACGCTACATGAACTGTTCTGGAATGAGATAAAACTAATTAGAGGCTTTAACATTTAGTGAAATGTGTCTATTTGTTTAATCACTCACTGCCTCACAAGGTCCACCCGGAATTATACATAATGAGGTCACCTTCAGACGGCCTATATTTCAACATAATAAGTCACCACAAGACAAAGTTAAAGAGGGACATCCTGGATCTTGACTATGGGATTACCTTTCTGGACTGCTGGTGCTCCTGTCCTGAGAGTTGTCATCTTGATCTCCTACTGGTTTGAATGAAGACCTCCATTTAGGAGCAGAAGAGTGCACTGTATATTACAAAGGTTAACAGAATAACAACGAAGACCATTTATATGGAAATACGGGACGCATTCAGATCTGTAATCTACAGTTACATCTATTAACAATGACCTGAACCAAGTTGTGTTTGGTTGATTTCTGTTGACTAAGACAATAATCAACACAATAATCCACCATTATGACCCAATAAAGGGACCCAGAGACAACAGCAGAGATGGTTTCCATTGATTTCTGTATAGTATTAAAGTCAGCAGACTCATGAAACTCACCTCAGTTATGAAGATGAAATCTGCACCGTTGATGCATGTTAATGCAGTTTTAGTGTATTTGGTAAAGACTGCACTCAAACAATAATGTCACTTTGACAAAAGAGAATACACACTGGGCAATCTAGTGGTGCAAACCATGAACTCCAATGTCCCTGGTTTGAGTCCAGATGGGGAAATTCTTTGCATGTCACTCCCATCTCTCTCTTCCTGTTAAGTCTCTAATAACAAAAATATGGAAAAGAAATAACAGACTTGCTTTGAATTACTGTCTGCAACTGATTGATTTTAAGGTTCTTCTTATTGTTTTAAACAGCTCCACAATGGAGGATAGTGGGTACAGGAAATTGTGCCTTTGTGTTGACAGCTCCAAAGCTTTGGAAACCCAAATGCTGCTCTCCTACTGACAAACCTCAAGGGGTGCATGCTTTCAGTAGCCTTTGGTCGCTCTATTAATACTCTTGTTAATGTGCCTATTACTACCATTTTGGTGTAATTTTGCTGTGTACTTTAATCTTTACAGCACTTTGAATAAACTTGACTTGCAAAAAGGCTTTCACATCATACAGAAATGAATAAAATCAGGGAATGCCTTCCACAGTAAACAAAATGCAGCAGCATTTGTGGTGATGTTTAAGTAATTTGAAGTAAAAGATATCAAACCACTGGTATGGCAGTATGTGGGAATGTTGTGTGCTTCAATGTGTTCACCTCTGCGGCCCGGCGGGGTCTTAGCAGATATGTCAGATGACCTGATGTTTGAGTTGTCTGCTGGTTTCACTGAGATGTGTTTCATAGCTTCTCTGAAGTCTTCAGGTATTCTGTTTATCACAAAAACAAAAAATGGGCGCAATGCGACAAAGCAAGTAAATACAACACTATGTGATGAGCATGGAAGTAGCAGGGCAAAGTGTTTTACCAATGCTCACAAATCAAGCAACCAAACTTAGCTATTTCTGCTACTAGCTGTAGCTAGTATACACAGCTAACGTTACATAGCTGCACAGTTCATTACTAATAATGTTTGAGTTAGCGGTCAGTCTAATGACATAAACCAACATTAAAACAGTGTCAGAAACCTTTCCGACAGCCACTTTTCTCGACGTTGTTGAAACTTTCTCACATAAATAATCGTTGAACAGACATTAGCTTCATGCAGAGACCACACCGGCTCTGAGCGGACGGTACCTGCCGGGCTGCGGGGGTCTGAACCCGGCGGCTGCTCCTCGGAGGGCCGCTGGAGGGCTGAACGGAACATTATTCTGTCGGTTCATTGTTTGGTTGTTTTACAGAGCAGGGGAGGTAGCCTGTGTGAGGAGTGAAGCTGGTTCACCGACACAGAGCTGGTTCACAGATACTGACAGCCCCCCGACAGAGGGCAGCACACTGCTACACATGATGGATGCTGCTTCTGTACTCTGGATAATCCACCTGAATGGACAGAGGTTTCCAAGTGTCAATTAAATGCCATTGATAGGGGTGTCAGATGGATTTATTCACATTGGATATGCTTTTGTAGTTAGTAACTGAAGTGTCAGAGTTAAATTAATAGCTGCATACTACAGGCAGGGTTGGATGAACCTGTCAATGGGGCACAATTAGCTGCTGGGCCTATAATAAACCCAATTTACCTGATTCTTCCTTTGTGCACTGTTTGCAGTTTTTCTATACTGAACATGCACTATGCATTTCTTCGACACTGACACTGAGAGCCTTAAGTTTATGTAATACAGCAGGACCCTTAGTAGTGTGTAGCAAACCAGTTGACCCATATAAACCATGAGATTTACCCAGATGAAGGCTGGTTTGTTAAATGTAGTAATTGCAAAGGGTCCTGCTTTATTACCTAAATTGCCAACCTGTGTGAAAATGTTAAGCCTGCACAGCACCACCCTAGTGGGTTAATCTGCCCAAGTGTAACAGAAAAGTTACATTAATCCTGATTTTGCTGACACTAAACTTAGTAAATAATATAGTGTCACACATGCTCAGTTATACTATAGTACGGTGTATAGTGACTTCACAGTGGGCAACATGTGCACCCTTCTGTTGAAATCAGTGAAAAAACAATAGTCCTTATGTAAAGGTGAATTCGTCTAAATAAAGTGAAGGAATGTAAACAGACAGTTTGTGCTGACGCCTTTAAAACCAGGATAGGATATCTCAAGGACATTTACATCATGATGGAAATTCTCAGAAAAGCGAAGTTACTGCAAGGCCATCAATTAGACTGCTGAACAGAAGGTCACATACATGCATAACACATATGACCTCTATGAGACGGTCAAGATCTACACAGTGAACCGATTGTTCAACCCTCAACAGGACTCACTGGCTCAATAACAATGTTACTGGTCTACATCATGTTCCCTGTAAAAGCCTACCCATGTCCTGGAAAACTCAATGGCCTGATGGGAATTAAAATGTTGGCAGAAATATCTTCTGTAGGATCATATGGATGGATGAACAGAAGACATCCATCTTTATCATATTAACATTAGACATCTGGTAAAAAAGATTATGGATTATGTGGGTTAAGTCTCATAAACCACAAAAAATGTCAAGACAAAGACGACGTCTTCTTTACTATCAGTGATCTGGAAACATTATGTGGACTGATTGTCTTCAGGTTGTACAACTTGTAAATGTTTGGGATCATCCCACTCTGTGTGAATCTGTCTCTTGATAACATAGACAAAGGGTTCTTGGTTCAGGAGTCTTTGTAGAGAGCCGCAGAAGGGGACATGAATTAAAACTCTTATGTAGACAGGAAACAAACTTGTGGAAAAGTTCCTTTTTTCATGAGAGACAATTTCAAGGTTCATTCATTCCACAACACAGGGTTGTACAATGAACATAATGTATATAGACACAGAGAGTGTGGAGGATGAATTAAGGAGTCTGTCTCAGGAAAGAAGCCACCCTGTTAGTCTGATGGTGATGTGTGTCTAAAATCATCCACCCTCATTGGTTACTTATCAAACACAAGTGTAACCAATAAGATAATTAATTGCTTAATTGTAATAACTGCTATGACAGAGGCATCGTTAATGTTATGAGCTCCACCTGTGTGTTTCCTGCTTTGATGACTCCAAATGTGTGCTGTAAATACGGCCTGTGAATCTGAAGTGTTGTGATGTCTGCTCAAGATTCGTGAGAGAAAAGCTATTGAACAGGAGAGCTCATGTCTCTCATGTGTAAAATCTCTGAGAAATGAAGTGTAACTAGTGAGAAACATTCAGTTCCTGTTCTTGATAATGTTACTTCAATAAAAAGATTTAAGATTGCTCCTTTTGTTACAGTTGATAAAAATACATTTCTGTGTAGGTGGAGGGGCGTGACATTTCTTCTGCTTCCAGCTGGGGGCATGATTCAAATCTTATAAAATTAAAAAATTAAGTCTACACTGCCCAAAATTAATGTAAAACTATATAGTTTAAATGTAAGAAATCTGCCTACTCAGTTTAACATTAAAAATAGAGTAATTTGTGTCTATTTCATTTAGAGCACCCTGAGAGCAACAGTGTTCAGTGGAGTACAAGAAGTAGATGAATAATGATTAGACATTCATCTAAAACCTTGTTTTATTGTGCCATAAAGCTGTGAACTTTGAGCGTAGGATCACCGAGATGTTACAGCAGCTCTGAAGAGCACACATACACACACACGACACATATATATATATATATATAATATATAGGCCTACATGGGAATACATTGAGAAGAATGAAGGCAGACATGTTTGTCGTCATTACACAGTTCTGACATGTAGAATAATCAGTCCTACCTGTGACCAGATTTATTACACATTTCAAATTTTAAAGCATGATTAAAAAAAGATAAGTCAATAGTTTTCCCTTTTATCGGCTCACGTTGTTCTTATGACTTGTTATCACAAAGGATATTCACCAATCTTTAAATCATTAAGTTTGTGCATGTGCAAATGAATTACTATAGGCCTTAGTATACAATCTCTACAACAGTAAGGTAAAGGTTCATTTCTGGTGCTTAGTCTCCACCTGAGTTGTACAACTCTAAACTCATTCTGTCGGCTACAAGACATCAAGGAAAATAAAGGTTAAATAATTTCAACAAAAGTTAAAAACTACCAAGAAAGAAGAGCTGCAATGTGTCCTCTTCCATAACACATACAAATTGCTCTCTGGACAGTGTCTGTATGAAAAACTTACGTGAAAACGTGAAATATTCATTTTTGGCCTTTTGTTCGTGAAAGCCCTCACTGTAAAAAAATAGCAGCAGTTAAGGCAAAAAGATTGTTCCCCATGGTTACAATTATACCTGAGTACCTAAAAACAGTAATGACAAAACTACATACTGTGTCATTGAAGGAAATTGTTTTGGTCTATAGAGTATAACATAGAGAAGCTAAATTTCTAATGTTTTATTACTCAAAGCTGTGAAAAAGCTAAATCCCAAAACGTTGCTGAATTGTATACATACTCAGCAACAAGAAAAGCAATCTGTACCATGTATAGTTACATAAGCAGCTAAGACAGCCCATTAAAATAATCAAGAAAATGCATTCATTTTTTGTGGATATTACAATAAAAAGTCTACTCTTACATCCATTACACAGGCTTGTTACGAACCACCAGAGGTGTCAGCCTATCTGAGTTGTGGTTTTTGTGCTATAAGCCACTCGTAAAGGGCGCGTTGTTCTCTTGGCTTATGCTCTCCTTAACTTCCACAGGCAGTGCATCAAAGAGATGGTCTTCTACCACCAGGCCGTTCTTGCGCAGCAGGCGGCAGTTTCCTAGCTGGGCGGGCAGTCTGTCCAGGCAGTTTCCTTTCAGCTCCAGCTGAGTGAGCTGGACCAGTTGACCCAGAGCCTCTGGCATCGTGGTGAGCGCATTGTTGCCCAGACACAGTACCTTGAGCTTGGTGCATCTGAAGAGAGGCTTGGGCAGCACCTCCAGCTTGTTAGAGTTGATGGCTAAGTGCTGGAGGTTGTGCAGGAGACCCACATCTGGAGGGAGCACTGTGATGGAGTTGTGGCCCACGTCCAAGTACCTCAGTTTAGGCAGTGTGAACAAGGCTGGAGGCAGGGTCTCAAGTTTATTGTGAGAGAGGTGGAGAGACTCCAGAGACTTGACCTGGCCGATGGAAGATGGTATGGTGATAATTTTGTTGTGCCACAGTTTTAGGCACGTCAGCCTCTTGAGGTGCTGGAAGCTGATGATCTCCTCTATGGTTCGGATGTTGTTAGATTTCAGGTCAAGTTCCTGTAAGTTGGTCAAGCTGAAAATGGCGTGGGGAATCCTCTCCAGTTCGCAACTGTGCAGCTCCAGTTCAATAAGATTTGTCATTTTTTTCAGACTATTTAGTACCATAAGTTTTGTACCATCATTGTGCACCACTAACTTAATCAAATGTGGCGATAGCTCTGTGATGTTGGTGGGCATTTTTGTAAGGTTGCTCTTCAAGCATAACGTCTTTAAATGCCTCAAATCTCGCATGGACTCTAGACCGATCATTTTGTTATTTTCTGAGCTCAAGTTGCCGATTAAGTTAAGCTCCCTCAAACTCCTCAGCAAATACACCCACGTTGGGATCTCGGCGACGTCAGTGAACTTGACATGAAGGCAGCGGAGATGGTCCCGCAGGAAAGCAAAGCCTGTCTGCTCTACTTTGGCCGGACAGTGGCAGAGATGCAGCTCCTGCAGGCTGGTCATTTGGGAGACCTTTGCAGAGAACCTCACTTCGGGAATCAGCTCCAGTTTCAGCACTTCCAAATCCGTGAGGTCAAACACTGCATTCGGGAGACCAGAGAGCATGAAAAGGTGAAGCTCTTGCTGGTCCTGAGCATTACGGGTCACCAGCTGCCTTAGTTTTTCAAAGGTCCACTCGTGGTTGAGACTGATCTCCCTCAGCTTGTTTTCACTGACCTCGGACAAGAAGACACCAAAGCGCTTGGAGTAGAGTTGGTCGTATTGGTCAACCATGTGTAAGAGGAATGCAAAGTCATTTTTGACATCAGGAATGTCACTAAAGCTGCTCTCTTCCCGGACCTTCTCGAATGAGTACTCTTTCAGGGGTCGTCGAAACACCCAGAAGAGAGAGTACACGCAAGTCATCCCGTAGATCAAAATCAAAGTCATGTAGCTAATGAGCAGCTTGTTTAGCATGAAGGCCATGTTGTGCGTGCAGAAGAACTTTTTGTACCCCGTGAGCTGTTTAATATCAGGTTCGCAATTATGCTTAAAATCAATTTTAGCAAAAAAGGTTGAAGTGTAGGATAATATCAAAATAAACTTGACCGTTTTGACAATCGTCTGTGCTACATAAAGCTTATAGATGAAGTCACTGTCCTCCACATGAGCTCGGAATTTTCTTACTTTCTCAAACAGGGCTTTAGCCTGCTCCCCGTCTTTTTTGTCCAGGATTGTCATACTACTTGGCACCTCTGCGATGGGCTTATCCGCAGAGAACTTCACCCCGAGCATGGGTGTGGATGAGTTGACATTTGTGCCATCATCCTTGCCCTCTAAAGACACCTGCTTTGGTGCTGAGGAGGTGCCGGTCAACCTCTGTTTGTTCTCCTCCGAGTCCTCACAAGCCGTTTCAGATAAAGCCTTTGTCGTCCAGGGAGACTCAAAACATCTACCCAGAATAGAAACAAAATGCTCAATCTTTGAGCTCGTTTTGGGGTATTTGAACCAGAAATTGCTACTGACCATGAGAACAAGGGTGTGGATGAGGGTGAGGTATGGAAAGTACTTGGAATACCAGGGCAAGGCAACATGGTAACATATTTGGTTGATGAAGATATATTGTTGATAGTCCAGGTTGGTTTTTACCCCTGTTGGTTGAGGTTGATTGGCATATTTCTCTGCCACAGATGTGTGTTGGTGTGTGACGTGTATCTCATGGACAGCTTCGTCCGGTAAGTCCTTAGTGACTAGGGGGGTGGAGGATACGACGGGGGTCTCGGTGGCTGCTGATGAGGCAGCTGCCTGTGTGGTCTGCTGGGGGAACGAGTTAGTTTTGGCTCCTGAGCTCTCCTCCGTCTCCTCCAGACACGGAAGACAGGCCACCTGGTCCTTGGTGATCTGCATGGTCATGGCGAATATGGCCAGCATGAGCATGACCAGCCCCAGGTAGTCCATGAAGACATCCCACCATGGCTTTAGGATGCGGTACGTCGGCTGGATGTCGTTCAAGGACGCAACCTCAGTGAGTGTGAACATCACTGCAACAAGAGAGGAGAGTCGGTTAATCTACTCATGTTGTTTTAGAATTACTTATTATGTATGACAAAGGAAAAAATAGAGTAGTCTGAAAGTCAGTCTGGTCCAGTATGCAACTTATACAAGTGTGATGCAGAAACTTGAAGCCGTTAGTGCACTTACAATGAAGTAGGAGATTCTTTAATTTTTAATGAGGTTGAAGGAGTAGATGCCTTTTTATAGTTTTTAATGTGGAAATTATACTTTTTTTTTAAAACATATCTGACACAAATTATTGTTCCAAGCAGATTATTTGAATACATGTCTTGGTCCAGTGTGTAGTATTTAGTGTAAAAATGTTAATAGACTAATGAAAACATAACTATGGATATTATATTATATTTCATCCAATAGAAAATGTTACACACTAGACTTCTAATCAGTCTGAATTTAAACTGTCCTTTAAAACTGCTTTTACATGGTGCCCTTGAGTAATACTTTAAAAATAACATTCAACAGGAGTTTGTACTTCTAGAGCACAACCCTACACCAGGAAGTTAAAGCTTTCTGGGTCAAATCCATAGCACACTGCCAAAAGTAGAGAGCCGTGTCGTGGACCCTGCTAAAGCTGCTGGAGTAACACATTTACGCCCCAGCTGTTCAAGGTGTGAATATGTAATGTGAAGGCACTGCTGGGTGTTAAGGTGCTCCATCACTTTATCCTGGTGTGCTAAATTCAAATCTCACTTCCGCTCACTTGTCAGTCTAGTTTCATTCAGTAATGTTTTAATGATGTTTAAGCCCAGAGCCAAGGTTGTGCTAAATCCAGACTTATTACAACATGTTGTTACTGGAACAGTGCAGAGCCCTTTGATGTAGGCATATTGTAAGTCTACCAACTGTTCTGACTCACTAAGACGTTTGGCACTCGTGTGTTTCAAGTGTTAATTATATAATTAAATTAAGTTCATACTGTGTTTTCTTAATTAGAAGATGTGGCACTTTCTGTATCACATGAATTGCTTGTATCATCTTTCATCTGGTTCTTGATTCTTGTGCAAACAATGACAACTGAAAGAAATGTTTCTAAAAGATTAATGAATAAATAAATAAATTATGTTTTGTCCATCTTGATAATGTGTTGCTTCTTTAAGGCCTGCGAGCTGCACTGAAAAGCAGCAGTACTGTGACATGTTTTGAATATTTCATACTGTACTTTGCACTGAGGCAGAGGACATCCTGAATGCCACTGAACTGCACTCCAGAAAGAAGGTATTTCTAGCAAGTAAGCAAGGTAGAGTTGGAACATTTCTAAGAAGTTAATATATTTTTCACTTTATCCTTTTTTTGGTTCCTGTGTGTCAAATTTCTTTTTTCAGACATTTTCCTCATCATTATAATATCTTTTTTGTCACAGAAATTGGACTCTGGTTTGAGCGTGACAGCCTTACATGTAATGGACACACCGTGGTAGATGGATACTTTATTTATCCCGAGGGAAATTCGGTGTTATCTTCAGCAGTAACAGGCTGTGTATCAAACTTTATTTCAGATCAGTAAAGTTTCAGTTTACCAATGAAACCATCAGCCGTCAGTGAAGCAAAAAAGATGCATGAGCACACAGCTCCTACACAATAGTCATTAATGTCTGAAGCATGAACGACCACGTCAGGTCTTTGTTTTTCATTTTAGACTTTACAGTAAGACCACCCCTTCAGAAATTAACAAAGTCAAAGCAGCTTTGCTATTGGCTGAGTTATGCATGTGAAGTATTGGTGTAGCATGAATGTTAAAAGCCTTAACAATAAATCAAGGGTCGTTATTATCAGCTGATATAAGTGTATTACAGATATGTTGTATCAGCATGTATAGCTGTATAGAATATAGTATAGTCAATGCTCAGCTGTGAACAATCAGTGTCATTATTTGGTCTCAACTCTCGTAACCAAATTTACCAGATTCCTAAAAAATTTGCTCATGTTCTTTAACAATTATCATATTTTTAAATTCTCAAATATTGACCTAAGTGTCAAGTATCGGCGTCAAGTATCAGCACAATATCTGTCAGACTATAGCACTACTGAGGCTGGGTTATACCAAGTTATATCTTCTTGTGGAAAGTCATGTCTCCTCTACAACTATACAGTAGAACACTGGGTGAATAGTGTATTGTGTAATTATACAGGAATTGGGTGTAAATAATCAAATTAATTATGGCTTAATTCCATTCAGCTTCACGGTCAGAGGCCTGGTATTGTTCATACTGGCTCAAAGCCACACTGTCATGACTCACTGCTGACACTTGAACACATCAGAGTCATTGTTAAAGTTATTTGTGACACCTGTACTTTTCTATAAACCCCCGACACAAACAAACACACACACACACACACACACACACACACAGTCACATCTGTAGGTTGCTTATTGTTATTTCCATATTCCTATGAGCCTTATAAGGATGTTAAATCAAAGTCAAAGATAAGGTTAAGTTGCTAATGACATATTGTAGCTATGCTATGACTATATCTTGGCAACGATGACATGCACCAGTGCATGATGTTTATGTTCCGCAACAGTGACAAAGTTGATAGGGGCAGAGTGGTTTGTAATTATCAACCCTCCCACAGTCTGCGCAAACAGGATGGAACAGACAAACTCAAAAAGGCATGGAAAAAAAGAAAGGAAAATAGCTTAGTGCGTGGGGGCCCCCAGGAAAGGGCGCTGCCCGGTGCCACAGGCGGGCCCTGGAGGCAGGGACAGGGCGCTGAACAGTCCCCCTCCTCTGATACTAACTAGGTTAAACCTGTGGAGGGACGTGCTGCCCTGTACAGATAAAACAGACCTCACCATGTGATAGTGGCCACTGTACTGCAAGTTAAGTGTAAGTTAATTAAGGTAAATTATAAGTTTAAAACATGGCTCCCAGACAATTTAGAGAAAACTAACTTGCAGGGAGGTCTGAGGGTCAGAGAGGAAATGGGTCGCAGCCCGGTAGTGAGCAAAACTTAGTATTTTCATAAAAAAAAAAAAGGCGGACTATTCGACCGAGAGGAAATAAGACATTTTGTATGGTCGGATGAAGAAACGTTTTACTTTTTCTCCCCCTCACGTGAGGAGTTCTTGCGCAGTAAGTTATCTGTTGGTGTACCGGATCAGGTGACTTGTTGAAACATGTGAAATTGAGAAGCAGCATGCGCGTTAAACATTCACACCAGGGAACCACTTTCTTATCTGGAAACCTATTATCTCCTCGGCCGCGCGCAAAAAAAGTATAATATATCAAGTTATTGATTATTAATATGCTTTTCGGAGAGACTCGTTTTTTTTTTTTTACAAAGTAGACATTTAAAAGATAGTCAGATAGTAAAGTAAAATATACTTACTGTCTGTATGGCGTTATCTCAATCCAATTATTTCTTTCTCAGCCTGCATGCCACTTTTCACTCCGTTCCTCAGGTGCGCCTCTAACCTAATTTCTCGGCCCCGTTAAAAGCAGTGGGAATGACGCCGGTGTGTAAAACAAAGCTCTCAGGAACATTTGTTGGTGACAGCGCGGTGTGTCGGCTGCGTCCCTCATACCTGAGCCCGGGGAGCAGAGCCGGCTGCCGGGGGCTGAGCGTTAGACAGTATGCGCAGAGAGACCTCCAATGCAATGTATTTCTAAGAAAAGGCAGATCCAATATGGAGCCGCACAGACCGCTGTTGTGGGTGCTACGAGCGCTTCTCATTGGTGGATGACATTACAGCCACTTCCTGAAGGCACCGCCTGCCAGTTTATCTCGTGCTGCGTTCAATGCGTGTGGGGAAAAGGAGTACGGCAGAGTGACACGCAGTCAACGGCTGGGCTGGAAAGTTTGCGGTTGTGACCACACGTAAACCTTTCAGGGATAATCTGTGTGTGTGTACCCGGAAACATTAAATGTTAAAAGTATCATTTATATCCAATATTTTCCACCTGCTCCGGTTATTACCGCGACCTGCAGTAATAATACCTTAAGTACCACGTAAAAAAAGAGGAACAAGGCGGAGGATTTGTGAAAATATTGGATTTAAACGTTGGTTTCGACGTGGTAAATATATATATAGACCGTTGTCTACCAGTAAAACATCTGTGAGGCCCCTAAAATAGCTGTAAAGACGCAACTGCTGCAACAGTGTCTGTACAGTAGGTAGCAAACAAAGTGTTTTAGCAAGTGCTTATCATGTCTTTGAGAATGATAAAGTCTGGCCTATAATAAATAAAGTACATATTCATCAAGTGGAACAAATGAGCTGTATTACAGACAAAAGCCTGAAGTCAGTCCTATTTAAAATGAGCTAGTTAGGCCAACCAACTGAAAACTGAGCTATCTCGTCTATAATCTTCCTAACGGTGCATGAACGCAGCACCAGTTTCCCCTTCTTTGTTTCAATCTCAGGCACCACAAAGTGCTTCATGATGTTGGCTGAAACAACTCAGCTGACTAATTAAAACTGCTCACATGTATCTGTGTGCACATGACACGTGTTTTTACATGCTGCATTGACCTGGTACAGTTAGACTAAACTGTAACATATCTATCTGTCTATCTGTCTATTCTGGTCTGTCTATCTATCTATCTGTCTATCTATCTATAGCCTATTTTTGGTATTGACAAACTCAACAGTCAATAGGACCCTGAGTGCTGAACTCATGCATCAGTTCCAGCTCTTTCTGGATTTGGTTGATGATGCACCCGGTGGAGGAAGTGTTTCCTCAGTTGCAACCCATACAGGTTTCAACCGGTCCTGAGCTGCTGGCTGCTGGCACTCTGCTCTAACTCACGCTACCCTTGTACTTTGAGAGGGAGAGAAAAAAAACAAGAAAGAAAGAAAGAAAGAAAGAGAAGCAGCTACTGGGATTTGTAGTGTGATAGTCTGCCAGTGTACAAGATCACATGTGGAGGTGGTGTGTGACCGTACATAACCACATGCAGACTTCTGCTTCATTTGATCTGTGTTCTCTATAGAAACCAGGTAAAATGCTGGAGGTGTATCAGATGCGCTGTCTTTGCAGTAGAGCCAAATGTTTGCTCGCAGTTGAGTGAGGCAGTCGAGTGATAGCTAAGTTTATAATGGACCCCGAAAGAATCCCAGACAAAGTGAATGACAAAGTAATGGATTAGCACCTGTGAACTCACTTAACCTTCTGACGTGGGTCACTTGAATCCTCTTTATACAGGTTTCACTGATTCCCTCCACAACTTGTTGTCAAGGCATTATTTGTAATAAAGTTTTTATTTGATTTTAGTGCTGATATTAATTTGGACAATGGCTTTAACCTGAGATATACTACTAATGACACTGATGTTTATCTGACTGTGGTGGACATATGGCTGGTGTGGTAAGGGGAAGGAAAAAGGTATAAATATGCTGTAATAGTTTGGTTTGTTGTCACACAGGGTGGTTGAGGAACAGTGGTTGGACAGTATGGGGTTTCCTGTCTGCGGGGGGTAGTGGGGCCAACAGCTGAGGACCAGCCTGGCAACCAGTTTGGTGTGTTGAGAATTGGCTCAAAGAGGTATAAATTATTCAGCGTGGACCTCCCTCTCTGATTTATAAAGAATACACTGGGTAGTATCAGCTACTGGTATGACTGCGCATCAGATACACATACATGTCAGCTCTCTGTGTGGAAGTAGCAAAAAATAAACAGTCCTTTAATTTTTTTTGCAAAAGCCACAAACGGACAACAAACCCAAACAAACCTGTTTCTATAGTAATTAATTTCCTGTAATCACGGTAAACAGTGAATTATCTTACACATACACACACTGGGGTAGGAAATTCAGGACTAGTTTTGGGTAAGTGTTGGTCATTTAGTGGGGAGGGTTAGGAGTCTGGGAATGTAGTCAATAAAGGATTCCTGAGTGTGGTTAGACAAAAGAGTGTGTGTGACATTATAGACACTGTTTCAGGTGTCTGCACACAGGCTGTCTGCTCGTGGGCTGATCCTTTGTTATTACTAAAATATAGAGTAACAGCAATGAATGATAATGTGGTTTGATATGAGAAGGAGGGAAGTAAAGGATTACATGTAACTGAGTTACAAAAAAGGTAAGTAATCCATTACAGTTACAGAAAAAAGATGTAATCAGATTACAATTATATTTAGTAATAAATGGGGATTATTTAGGATTATAATTTTAAAATACATCTGTTTTTTTCTAGAAATTTTGTTTCAAAGGTTACATTGTTCTGTTGTCTTATAGAATACACTTCACTTCTTATTGACATTTCTTTTCTTTTTTTTGTATATTTGGTGTTCAGGTGATCCAAAAGTAACAGAAAGTCAAGTTACGTTTTCTTTAATAATGTGATTCTTAGATTAGGTTACTGACTCCTACCAACAGGTAATAAGTAACCGTATCGAATTACATTTACAAAGTAACCCTCCCAACCCTGCCTATGATGTGGCAGATGAGAAAAAAAGAATAGACAGCCCCTGAAGCAGTTAGTACACAGTGTGTATTTGCATGTGTGCTTGAGACAAAGAAACACACTGAGAACACGTGCCACCACTTTTTCTTCTGCTCTGATACCTGCATACTGGTCTCACCATTAAAGATATATGAATGCTCAAGGACACCTTTCAGACAAGAATCAGTTGCAAAAGCATAGTAAAAACTTTAAATTCCACATGGTGCACACATGTTCTCCACATTGCACCCTAATCAGTAGCAGTACACATTTACAAGTTACTTATAATTTGCTGTTTTTTACCAGGTCAGAATCAGACATACACATCACTGTGAGCTGCCAGATGTTGGATTAGATTACTGAGCCCAGATAATGTCACTATACATTTGTGGCCTTTTCATTTTATATGCAGGGTTGGGAGGGTTACTTTATGTGAATGTAATCCGATACAATTAATCACTTGTTAAAACATTTAGTCAGTAATAAATACAAGTATCACAATACTAAAGTAATGTTATTTGACTTTCTGCTAGGTAATCCAACCTCAACACCAAATATGCAAATAAAGACAAAATTAAAGAAATATTAATGAGATGACTTTTACAGAGACAACAGAACAATGAAATGAAAAGAAAATAGAAAGAAGGTTCAAAAACTTCATTAAACAAATTCAGGCAATAGCCTAGAGTCTAGACCATTTTCACACATGGAAGGCAGAACTTGCGCCATACTGAGACGTTGTTCCCTTTTCTCCTTTAAATTGAACAACTTTAAGACCAATTGGTTTCACTTGAGAACAGACTGGTGCTTTGAGATGTGTGAAGTGACGTAATGTGTGTGTGCACTGCATATGTACATGGCACTATGTCGTTCTTTATTTTAAAATAGTAATCCTATTGATAATCCCCATTGTTACTAAATGTAACTGTAATGTGATTACGTCTTTGTTAATGCAGCTGTAGTTGTAGTGTACCTTTTTGTATCCTGATTACATAAGCAAGTTATCTGTTACTCCCCAAGCCTGTTTATGTGATTGGATATGTTCGGCCATTGAGTGAGAGATAAGAGCATTATAATTATTCATAGTTAACTTCAGTTTTCAAATGAGTTCTGTAAGAAATTGTATATTTCATTTGTAGACAGATTTGTTTTTCACTTTCCACCAAATCAATGACTCTTTGTGGCACTGTGTGGATTCTTCAAGGGCCTGAGAAGTGTGATGTAGAGGAGAGCAGTCACAGATTGGTACAGAGTCAGAGACACAGGCTGGCACAATCACAGCAGACAGTCAGCAATGTCACAGGCCTTTTTTTATCAGTAGGCTCGTACGATAAATCGGTACAGTTTAGAGATGTGTAACGTTCATTTATATAATTTTGTCAGAAAAGTCATTTTGTTTTTACTGGTTAGCCGACAATAGGCTTGTGTTCCCATGTAGGGCAATCACACTGTTAATGACAGTTAATCTCACTAGTGAAATATCAGGTTTGTATTTGATACCATATACCATGTATTTTATCACCTATCCTGGTTTGACTGGTGACACTTACAAGTCTGTCAATTCAAGTCTTCTGGAAATAATTATATATTTAATACTAATCATAGAAAATAGAAACAGTGACCAGTGAGTTCACCTCATATGAATGATTCCAATAAAGTCTGTTTAGTTTAAAGTAAGTATCAGTAAGTAAACAGCAGCTTAACATGAAACATTTTCACGAAAGTACTTTCCCAATGACACTATTCAATTTGTGTTGCTGTTATTAAACTGGTATTGTACATGTGTGGCACTGTAT